AAAAAATAAAAAAAAAAAAAAAAAAAAAAAAAAAAAAAAAACCTAGCCCAGTATGTAATCAACGTGAAAGAGATAAACCTTCAACTGCTTACTAAAAATCCTTTTTGCTAAAGACAGTTGCCCTGAAAAATTGGTGTGTTCAGCAAAAATCAGAAGAAAAATGATAAAACAAAATAAATATCGGTAAAAATTATTAGTGCAAAAGAGGTATTTTACGTCAGTTATTTTGAGGTTTTTATGTCGTAAATAGGTCTGATGTTAATGCGGGAGACGTAAATTTACGTCGGATCCACCATTGCCGACGTAAAACATCCTCCCTGTCATCGGCGGCGTCTACCTCTCCCACGTCGCCGACCGGAAGCCCTAGGCAGGCTTCGAGGCCATCCTCCTGGACCTCTACACGCATGAAACAACCTCACGCATCGCCCAACCACTCTCAGTCACCATCCCCGATCTCACAAACCCTAGCATCTACCACGACACCAAAGCCTCCCCCCAACAAAAATGCCGAAGATTTATATATAGGCAATGAAAGGGAAATGAACGGAAGGCTCGCTAGAAATAACAACTCACCTTCGCAAAAATCTTCGAAACGCCCTTCACTGGATTCCAATCGGTCAAAACGATGGAGAATGACCCACCAATGACAAGTCGCCCTTCGCCGGAAGTTGCCGAAGCTCAAAACGTAACCAGAACTCGTTCTCACCTTCGCTGAAAATCACCCAAACGCTTTTCAGATTAACCTAGGTTGCGTGTGAGGAAGACGAAGGCGTAGCCAGGGATATAAAAAGGTTTTTACATCAGACTAAATAGGGATCCGACATAAAATTTTAAATCTACATTGGTTGTGGCTTCTATCCGACGTAGATTTCAAATTTTATGTCGGATCCTATATAGTCCGACATAAAATAGTTTGACTTATTTTCAAAATTGTCACCACGTCTTTTTTACGTTGCTTATTTGTATGTTCGACGACAAAGAACTGACGTAAAAGACTGATTTTCCACTAGTGAATATATCCAAAACAAGCTCTTTTTGCAAAGTATCATATTCAGATTTTGTTTGAATAATTCTACGTACTCTAACAAAACACAAGTTCAAAGTAAACAATTAAAAATAGAAATATTAGCATGGAAACAATCTTAATTTCCGTAAGTCAAAGGTGCTTTTAACTTATATTTGTAGCATATTAATTATCAATTATACGGTATTGATGTTTTTCTTTCTTAATTAGGTCGCTTCCATGCGTTAGAGAAGGCCAATGTAATGGATCCAATATCAAGTGGGCATGGAGTTCTTCAGTTCAAGACCTACCTATTGTCCAAACTCAAAGAGGTACACAAGGCTAATTATGCTCTATGGTTATACAACTTTACCTTTTATCATTATACTTAAAATCATCTATTTTAGCTCTTGTATAAGGATTTTTTTTCCCTTTTTGTTATAATGGTTAAAAAAAAGTTAAAACCATTAACGACATATTATGTGGTGTTTACATGTCATTGACATTGTTGAGTATGTGGAGTCTGAAGGGTTTATTGGGCTTGACCCATTTGCTTTCTTTCTTTTTTATAAATACTCATGTAATTGTAAACCTAATTAATGAAATAACAAATACCATCTAGTGCAACCGTGGAGGTAGGTTAATCTGACCGAATCACGTAAATCTCTGTGTCTTGTTAATTTACTTTTTCTCTTGTAATTGTGAGTGTGAATGTGTTTGGAATCCCCAACAACTGGTATCAAGAGCCTAGGGTTTCATGCGAGTGGGAGCAATGGCAGAAGACGGGAAAGTGAAGATTGACAAGTTCGATGGGAGTGATTTCAAATTTTGGAAGATGCAGATTGAAGATTATTTGTATCAGAAGAAGTTATACCAGTCTTTGTCCAAGAATAAACCAGAAACGGTGTTTCAAGAAGATTGGAATTTGTTAGATCGATAGGCTCTAAGGGTCGTCAAATTGACGTTAGCGAAGAATGTCGCCTACAACATTGTCAATGAGAAGACGAAATATGGTTTGATAAAGGCATTATCAAACATGTATGAGAAGCCATCAACATCAAACAAGTTATTCCTTATTCGTCAACTAGTTAATACGAAGATGAGAGAAGGTGCTAGTGTTACAGATCATGTGAATGAATTTAATTCCCTACTGTCGAGATTAGTATCAATGGATATTAAATTTGATGATGAAGTACAAGCCCTATTGTTGCTATCCTTGTTGCCTGATAGTTGTTCAAAAACTGTCACAGTAGTCGCTAGTACATCTAGGACTACGAAATTAACCTTCGAAGGAATTAAGGATTTAATCCTTGGTGAGGATGTTTGTAGGAGAAACACTAGAGAACCAGCACGTTCCTTATTGAGCACAGAAGGTAGAGGCAGAAGGCCTGAAAGGGGGCAAGGTTCTAGGCGTGATAGATCAAAGTCCAAGAAGCGAGGACAGTACTCCAAACCTCGCGAGGATATTATTTGTTGGAGTTTTTAGCAGAATGGCCACTTCAGAAACCAGTGTACTACATTTTTTTCCCTAAAGAAAAGAGGCATGACAACACAGTGAATGCAGCACAAGAAGACATTGATGACGCATTAATCTGTTGCGTTGAGAGTAAGTTTGAATCCTGGATCATGGATTCTGGTGCATCTTTCCATGCTTCTCCTTATAAGAACTTAATGAAAAATTTCAGAACTAGGAATTTTGGCAAAGTTTGTCTAGCAGACGATGAATCTTTAGACATCGTAGGCATGGGAGATATAAATCTTAGAGCTTCTGCAAGAGAAGTATGGACACTGAAGGACGTCAAATATATTCCAGGACTCAAGAGAATGTTAATCTCTGTGGGTATGCTAGATGTTCAGGGATATCGAGTTACATTCGGAGATGGTCAGAGGAAGATGGTGAAAGGTAATCTAGTTGTTGCTCACGGCTGGAAGAAAGGAACCCTTTACATGGTAGAATTACCTGCAGAAGAAGTAAATTCAATTAGTAATGATGTTGGTCACTTTTCAACTCTGTGGCACCAGAGACTTGGTCATATGAGCGAGAAGGGTATGAAGATACTAGTCTCACAGGGGATCCGAAGATTCCAGAACTGAAAGAGGTAGAAGTTGGTTTCTGTGAACCATGCATGTTTGGAAAGTAGAAGAGAGTTACTTTTACCAAGTCAGGGAGGATGCCCAAGGTTGAGAAGTTGGAGCTTGTTCATACAGATGTGTACGGACCAACATTAGTCTCATCATTGGGAGAATCACGATATTATGTCACCTTCATTGATGATTCCACCAGAAAGGTATGGGTTTATTTTTTGAAGCAAAAATTAGAAGTATTTAATACCTTTAAGAAGTGGAAAGCTACTATTGAGAATGAAATAGGATTAAAAGTTAAATGTTTAAAGTCTAATAATGGTGGTGAATCCAGTAGTAATAAATTTGTTAATTACTATGCTGAGAATGGAATTAGAATGCTTAAAACTATTCCTCAGACACCTCAACAGAATGGTGTTGTTGAAAGAATGAATAGGACCTTGAATGAGAGGGTAAAGAGTATAAGAATTCATGTAGGGTTACCGAAGACATTCTGGGCAGATGTAGTGAGCACAACAGCATACCTTATTAATCAAGGACCCTCAATTTTCATAGGGTTCAAGATTCCTGAGGAGGAATGACAAAGTAAGGATGTAAGTCTTTCTCATTTGAAAGTATTTGATTTTGTTTCTTATGTTCATGTTAGAGATGCTGATAGGGACAAGCTTGATCCAAAAGCAAGAAAATGCATTTTTAATTGCTATGGAGAAAATGATATGGGATATCGCTTTTGGGATGATCAAAACAGGAAGCAGAGATGTTACTTTCAATGAAAATGTCGTGTACAAGGACAAACTTGAGACAAATGCTGAAGTTGAAAAGAAACCAACAGAGAAGAAAGAGGCAGTGTTAGATGACATTACAAAAGATGACATTGCAGGAAAAGGTGAGAGCTTAGAAAATAGGACAGTTGAAGAGACCACTCCAGTCACTCTAGTAATTGAAGTGAGGAGATCTAGTAGAGTTATTTAGGCCTCCTCATAGATTCTCTCCTTCAGAAAATTATTTGTTGTTGACTGGCGATGGAGAACCTCTATGTTATCATAAGGCATTGCAGATGGATGATGCAGCTAGCCTAGTGGGAATTAGCCATGTAGGAGGAGATGAAATCACTTGAGAAGAATAAAACTTGGTGTTTTATTGACCTACTAGCAGGAAAGAGGGCATTGTAGAACAAGTAGGTGTTCAGGGTGAAGGAAGAACATGATGGAAATAAGAGGTATTGACTATACTGAGATTTTCTTGCCTGTAGTTAAAACGACTACCATTAGACTTGTGTTGAGCATTGTATAACAACTAGATGTTAAGACATCATTCTTACATGGTGACCTTGATGAGAACATCTACATGGTGAAAATAAAGGGTTTCTAAATAGTAAGGAAGGAGAACTTGATTTTTAAGTTGACTAAGAGTTTGTATGGGCTGAAGCAAGCACTAAGGCAATGGTACTTAAAGTTTGACAGTTTTATGAGTAGGAAAGGGTACAAGAAGTGTGCCATGGATCAGTGTTGTTATTTGAAAAATTTTGGTCCATCCTATATCATATTACTATTATATGTTGATGACATGTTAGTTGCAGGATCTAATATGGATGAAATCAATAGATTGAAGACACAATTGTCTGAAGAGTTTGAAATGAAGGATTTGGGTGCTGCAAAGCAAATTTTGGGCATGAACATTAGTAGGAACAGATCTGAAGGTTCCTTAATATTATCTCAAGAGAAGTATATTGGAAAATTATTAGAGAAATTTAGCATGCAGGATGCCAAGATCGTAAGTACACCTTTGGGGGTTCACTTTAATATCTCAAAGGAGCATTCACCTAAGACAGATGAAGACAAGGTAGCAATGGCTAAGGTTCCTTATGCAACTACAGTTGGTAGCTTAATCTATGCAATGGTATGCACTAGACTAGACATTGCTCATGTAGTGGGAGTTGTTAGCAGATTCATTTCTAATCCAGGAAGGAAGCATTGGGAAGCTGTCAAGTGGTTGTTATGCTACTTGAAAGGTGTACTTCTAAGATTGCATTATGTTTCAGTAAGAATGATGTTATTTTGGAAGGATATTCTAAGGTAGATTTAAGAGGTTGTTCAGACACTAGGAAGAGTACTACATGATTTGTTCTCACAATAGGTGGCACAATAATTAGTTGGATGTCTCGACTTCAGAAAAGCGTTGCACTTTCAACCACAAAAGCAGAATACATGGCTATTTCAGAAGTTGGTAAAGAAATGATTTGGTTGAAGAATTTTCTTGAAGAGTTGGGCAAGAAGTAGTGTGCCAATGCTCTTTATAGTGATAATCAGAGTGCCATTCATCTTGCAAAGAATCTCATGTTTCATGCGAAGACAAAACACATCCAGTTAAGATACCATTTCATTAGAGGCCTAATCAGTGATGGTACTTTGTTCTTAAAGAAGATCCTTGGGTCAGAGAATCCTGCAAATATGTTGACCAAGGTGGTTACTACTGAGAAGTTGAAACTTTGCATAATTTCAACAACCCTTCATGGTTAATTGTTGAGAAGGCATCGCACTAGTTTGGAGGTGTTATGGTTTTGAGGTTTACTAGATTTACTTTTGAGTGCAGTTGATGTGATTAGCCTCTAAGTGAGAGATTGTTGAGTATGTGCAGTCTGAAGGGTTTATTGGGCCTCCTCGATCTTTTTCTCCTTCAGATGTTAATCGGTGGTCTCTCCTGATGGCAACATTCTTTTCCCCAATCAATAGAATCCATCAACTTTGATAATGATATAGAATTATGTGACTTCAACTATGCTTTAATTTCTTCCTTCAATTCATTTATTGAAGTACCCCTTAGCATGGATTGATACGCAACTTTTAATGCTGATGAAACAATCTCAAATCGGTCACATACCCACCTTTCTTCCTCTCATCTTCCAACCACATTAATATCCTCTTGGATCTTTTGGTTATGAATTAAGGAGAACTCTCCTATAATTCCTTGCAAGTGTTTGACTTCTAGCCCACTCATCACGCTATAGCTTTGTATTTTTCCCATCCCTAATTTCCATTTCATCTTCTCCTCGAAACATTTCTTTTCATTTCCTCCTCCATATACCTTTCTAAGATCCTTCCACCATGTTGAGGTTATGTTTCTCCTTTCTCCCACAATGTCCACCCACCATAGAACCAACTCCCAAAGAGACCCCTTTTGATAGAAATGTTCCCACCTCTCCCATATGAACCTCCTTTGAATAGCAATAATCCTTGATGCTACCACTTGTGGTATCTTAAAAAATAACATTTAAAACAAAGGCAATGAAGATAGGACTAGGTTAATGAGTCAAACCCCATCAGACATTGACAAATATTCTTTTTCCTAGATGATAGCTTCATTGTGAAATTAGAAATTATAAGTTTCCAAGTATGCATCTTACTTAGATTAGCACCAATTAGAAAACCTAATTATGTAAAGGAGCATTTAACCTTTTACAATTTAGTAATTTCGCAAACCTAGAAACACCTCTATGACTCACCTCTATTAGTGGTAATAAACCAAATTAACTCAAAAATAGTTTAAAATTCAATTCAATAAGGAACTCATGTAACTCATTCAACTTGATTCATGAAAAAAAAAGAGTTGAACTTGAACTAAATATTAAGTTTGATAAATAAATGAGTTGAATTCGAGTTACATATAATTTGATTTATTTAGTTTATAAATTGGCTCAAAATATAAATATATAATTTATATAATTAACTTTCTATTTAATTTTAACTTATTAAAATTTGATAAAACCTTCAAAACTTAATTATAAGTTAATAATATTTTAATTATTTTATGTAAGATTGAGTAATTTTTGTTTATACAGACTTTGTTTGAATTATATTTCTTTTGATGAGTCATATCTTGTAACATTGTAAAGTTAGTAGAATAATTTATATTTTGTATTTTAAAAAAATTAAAAGGCATTGACTATGGTGTGGAGAAAAGAGAGACAGTAGAAGGTAGGTTGAATAGTATCACTCAAAAACTCAAATATTTTTGTGAAATGGTGAGATAATGACGTTGCAATAAGAAGTGCAAACAAAAAGGTAAATAGTAAGAACATAAAGTATTTTTATACTAGTTCGTCTCAACCACCAAAACTACATTTGATTTTTGATCCAATCAAATCAAATTCTACTATCTAATCTAAGATACAAGTATTCTTTACCAAGCTACTCTTGTCTCAACCTTAAGTGTTTTTTGACTTGTCTCTTCAAGCAACTATCTAAACATTCTTTTAAAGACAAGTCTCTCTAGACTTTAACACCGAATATTCTTTTATAGACAAGTTTCTCCAAGCTCAAATCCAATAACTCAAAGTTACAAAAGTTTACAAAGTTATTTCGTCTTCCTTTAAAGACGTGATACAACACATTAAGTACAAAGACTTTTTATAGAAAAACAGAATATAAATTTTTGCAATCAATTATCTCTCTATCTTTTTGAGTTTTAAACTTCCTTTTATAGAGTTTTAGGGAAGATGACCATTACAAATCGTTAAGCTTTTTTCTTATGACTTACTTCGTCTGTCTTCATGATTTGCTTCTTGAAGAGAGAAGTGTCTATTGGTGTAATACATGTTTGTATTAAATATTTTTACTAAATTGTCACTTCTTATTTGATCAAAGAAGTTACTTATCACCTTTTGGGTACCAAGTGGATAGATCATGCATATGTCAAGTTGTCACAATGATGAAACAACTTTTAATTGCATCATTTTTGTGTTAGCAGGGATCTGGTTGTCCTTTTTTGACGCGAAACATGTTTTTCTTTTCACTTTGTAAAATGTAGGTACGTATAGAGGAAATATTTTTAAATTCAATCTGTTAAGGAAACATTTAGATATAATCAATTCCTTGTTTAGAGATCATAAATGATAAAAATTCAATGTACATCTCTTTTTATATCTAAGGCTTCGTATTAGCCAGTAATATGATCATCTTAATGCAACTTTCATCTTATACAAAAATTCGTCTTATTGAAAGGTTGTGTCTTAGTAGAATAGATCTGTCTTAGTCATTTTGAAAAACTTATTCTATTGATCAAAAATCTCTTTGTCTGTTAACAACAAAACTTTAAATTAAAGGGATCTAAGATTGTCTTTTAACTTAATATTTGGTTCATGTAATTCGAGCTAACCCAAGTTACTAGTGAGCTTGAACCGAGTTGAGTTTGAGCTAAAGAAAAAGGTTAATGTCAAACTCAAGCTAAGATGCAAGCTGAGCCAAATATTATCAAGTCAAGGTAAATTAAGCCAAATATTAACAAATCAAGCTGAGCTAAATCAAGTTTAACTCATTTCTAATCCTACTTGTTCTTATATCTCCAAAATTTTTACTTTTATGCAAGTTGACTTTTAAACTATAGAGATTAGGTCAAAACATCTTTACCGTATTATTCCCCACTAGAAACCCCTTATGCAATCCTTTTGATAATGCTTGTCTCATTAAACCACTAAGATCCTCCCCAATAGTGCATAGGAATAGTGCCAACAAATCTCTTTTTTATCCAACTTAAATCTTCAAAAGGGCTACCATTAACCAATACTAAAATCGAGCCGAAACTTGGGCATTGATTTATCCAAAGAGATTCAGCCTAGTCCACACTTCTTCCCCAAATATCTCTTGAAATAATTTTGAAACCTCCCCTTCACTCTAGTAGAATCTTCAACCCAATATTACCCTTCTACTTCAAGTGCCTTAATCACATTTTCCTTCTCCATTTCACCATAGCGCAAAAATACTTTGCGTTACCATCTCCTTCCTTAAGTTGTTTTTATTTCTTGATTTTTGTCTTCTTATGGACTCTTCATAATTTGCCAATTTTCACCATTCTTGTTGTAGTCACTCACCTCTTTTATGTAATTTCTTCCTCAGTTAACCTTATATTCTCCTTCATCTAGTCAAGAAATCATTCATTTCATTTTCCACCTCTAGTATTTTTTTGTGAACATTGCCAAAACGGTCCATCAACCACTCTTATCTTTCTTTTCAACCCCTTTATTTTCTCCTTAAGAACAAAAGCTCCCCATCCATGAACTTCCATAGAGGACCAAGCATATGACACAACCTTTTCAATAATCTAGGATCTAGAAAGGTGTTGGTCTCCTATCAATAGTCTTATTTTTTAGAACCATAGGGCTATATATGATCAAATATATTGCGATCCAAAACATATCGTGTGCTTCCATTATCCGTTCTCTTGTTACTGAGACCCCTTTTACTACTCTATAATTATTATTGCGCATAGAAGAATTTTCGTAATCTATTTTGAACAAACAACAAAATAAATAGAATAATTTTTATAAGGTAGAGAATTCACATTCTCAAGCTAATCAATTAAAATCAAATATAGTTAAAGTCCATTCACAAAATGTTTGACAATAGTTCATAACCAAATACAAAAATAAGCATATGGTCACTCCCAACGACCTTACAAAAGTTTTATGAAAACTAAACAATTGAAAATCATAAAATATAACTGAAAGAACTATACTTCAACCTCAACTTATCAGATCATGATAACCCAACTATATACTAAGAGGTATAGGCCTCATTACCAACATCAACCTCCATTGGATTCTCTCCTAGAAGTGTTGTTCAACTCAAACACAAACAAGAGAAAAACAAAATAAGGGAGTGAGATATGTTTCACTCATGTTCTCAATGTGAGGCAAGGCCAGACAACCATAAACAAAATACATAACAATATAAGCAATTCATATTAGCACATTCGAATATATGACAAATGATGTATGCAATGTTTTGATCTAATTTTATATGCATATGGTACTATTATTGATTTGCACATGTATGAAGTAGTCTAGAAGTATATGGGTACAAGAAATTGATTACTATGCAATGGGTAACCCACACATGGTCCACTCTCACTAGAACAAAATCTATCATCGAGTTAGTCAAGGTACTATATAGCTGACCATGATTGTCCCTCATCTCACCCATTGACAAGAGGCTTCCCACCATAACACCCTCGGGACTAAGGTAGAAAATCATAGAGACCTCTAAGTAAAGGTGGTAAGACACAAAAACCAAACGAGGTTGATACGTTAGACGCTTATGTGTAAAAAAAAAAAACTGTTGGATGGTCTAATAACATTATTGGACACCTTGATTTTCTTTATGATGGTTTGTAAAAAAAAAAATATTTTATATTAGTATAAATTTTTAATGTCATTTTTTATCATCAAATCATTAAAGGGACGTACGACTTCATGTCTTTGGTTCTAACAATAATGTGTGGCAAAAACATTATAGACAATGTTTATTTTTTGACAGTTTTATGCTACCAGTTTCATGGCTTTTGTGGTAGTCTTAGAAAACCTAGTGTTAAGAGTTACATGGCAACTCATGACAAAGATTAAAGCATAAAAAATGTGACACAAATATCTAAACTTTGATCCATCATATACTGAAACATTTTATGTAACAATATTTAAACAATGCAAAAGTCTCCAGCTGTGAGGCGTGCCAGCACATGGTACTCACAAATTACATTGTCATATCTTACAAACATATCTAAAGTTTGTAACCTTGAGATTATCTGATTTAAGTATCTAAACATAATGTGTAATTTCGAAGTATAGGGACACAAATTTATTTCATTTTTTTCTCATAAAATTATTTTTGGAGAAATTTATTCAATCAAAATTTTAAACATGTTTTAAATTTTCTGGTTGCAGGAAGGGGAGCTTACAAAAAATCATAGTATAAGTGATGGAAGGGAGCTGCAGAACTACTACCAAACATTCGTCGAAAAGAAAATCTGGGAAGGGGAATTTACCCAAAGACTGTGAGGCCTGATCCTATACTTGTGATTGCATGTTTTGTGAATTGTGTTAAGATGTCTTATACTTCTAATGTTGCTCTTGAAGGGAGGAGACGTCTAAGAATGTTAAGATTGCCACTGTATTGTATGATGTGCTGAAGTCTATGATAAATACAGAAAATATGGATGAGAAGGTTTGTTTTGATTGAATAGGTTACCATGACTAAATTTGCAGAATAATACTTCTAAACATAGTACGGACGTGGAGTAAGGATGTTGTTTTATTGCCAGACAAAATGGTATGCTAATGATGTTGAGCATAAGATGGGACAATATGAACACTATAACATCCTTCCATTATATGCTGTTGGTGTTAAACCAGCAATCATGGAACTTCCCGAGGTTTGTATGTCTGGGACATAAGCATTGTTTGTTTTTTCTTCTATTACTGATATAATCACCTTAAAATTTAAAATTTTTAATCTGCTTTTTTTTTTTTTTTTTTGAAAATTATAGATCAAAGCAGCAATTAAGGCTTTATGTAGGGTGGATAATCTTCCAATTCCAGTAATTCTTGCAAGACCTGATGATTATAATAATGATCCTACAATGTCTATGAAGAGACTTAAAAAAGTGAATGATATACTTGATTGGACTGCCTCAGTTCTTGGTTTTCAGGTATTGAATAGTCTCCTCCACCCCCTTCTATTTCCTAATTTCACTTTGATTAGAATTTGTGCTCATTACAAATGTAGGTGAAATAGAATTGGGTGCCACACTTATTATTAATCCATAGGAGTTGGGTTCTAGGTTTTAAGATGGTGCTGGAAGTCATGATTAGGTTTTGATAGTTGACTTCATTGTAGAACTGGAAGCAAGTTTTTAGTTTCCGATAGAAGGAATCAAATTTTCTAAAGGAGCGGATTGAAGGTTTATTTTTTTTTGAACAGCAAAAAATTATATATTGATGAGGTATAATAAATACCTTTAAATCTTTTACATAAATAACATAATATAGATCCTCTGATTCATTGTTAACCATAATTTACTTTGTGAAATAAGCATATTATTGGCTAAACATGTACTCAACCCTAGAATGTTACACTCCCTACTTTACCCAAATAATGGATAAGGTTTATTTAATATGTTTGGTTAAGCATATTTTAGACAAATAATGTTTTTTGGTTTGTACCAATAATTTCTCCCAAAAAAGTTGTTACCAAACATGCACTCAATTGAATAAGTGTGAACATAAGCCTGATCTAGAATCTATAGGATAATGATTAATGACAAGATAAGGTGCAGTTTGAAAGCTATAACCATACCTTCAAATTAGGTTGGAATTTGGGAAGGGTTCTCAAACAAAGAATTTTTTGTTATCTTGTAATGAGAATAGATCTGAGCAATTAAAGCATAATCATTCATCCGTTTGTCTGTTTATGGCTGAAGCAAAATGCAAGTGTTTTTTCAGTGGAGATATTTTCCTTTAACCATTTATGGCATTAGTTTTTTCACTACAAACATGACAAATGAACAATTTAATATAGTTCTTTTTCTTTTTGGGATTCCTCCTATTGTTCTTTACAAAGTTTGGCTTCTTTGATGGGTTTTTATTAATAAAGGGATTAGAGAGTTCTATTTAGCTTTCACTTCTTCATTTTCATACAGTCATTTGTGTTTGAGTGTACAGGGATTTTTTAATCTATTCTTTTCCATAATTCTCTTTCTATTATTTAATTTCTATTTTAAAACAGTAAAACCTAGGAAAATACATAAGATCCATGCACTACAACAAAATTTGTTATTAATGACAATTATTTAATGGCAATAATTTAATTGCCGTCATATGTAAAAATATTAATGGCTAATATATAATAGTCACTAAAAATGTATTTATATTACACTAAAGTTTACTATTAGCGACAATTATTTATTAGAAAAAACTTAAGTCTCACATCGATTAAAGATAAGATAATTAAATAGTATATAAGTGAATAATAATTATCACCTTATAAATTCATTTTATGGGTTGACTCCTAATTCACTATTCTAAATTAGTATCAAATCACTCATTGTTACCAAGTTCAATAGTGCTATAAAACAATTAGAGAGCAATTTACACCTTATAAATCTCACATCTCTTAAAAGACAACACAATTAAAAAATAAATTAAAAAATATATAAATAAAAGATAACTCTCATCTTACAAATCCCACATCGAGTAGAGATAAAAAAATATATAAGTTATGAATTTAGAAAATGAAATTATAGGAATAAATTATTTAAAGTAAAGGAGACAATTGAAAAAAAATAACTTTTAATAGCCTTTAAAATGATTACTAGAATTGTCACTAAAAAAATAAGTTTTTTCAACAATTTAGTAGATCTTTACCGGCATTTTATATAAATGTCGGTAATAGTATTAGCGACACTGGATACACAAGTCATTAGTTAAATGCAGGTAAAAAAAATAATGACCATTTATATAACTACTAAATAATAAATTAATTGCCACAAAAAACTAATTTTGGTGTAGTGATGGTTCTTAATTACAACTGTGGTCAAAATTACAATTGTAATCATTGTGACTGTTACGATGTAAATTATGACATAAAATTATTATATATTTACATTGAACATAAAAAATAATTTTATAATAATAAAAATTAATCAAATATTTTTTCTCGATTTTTCAATTCAAATTTCTTTTTTCTTTTCCTAAAATACATCATGTAACCTTTCAACACTTCAACCAATCATCATTAGCTACCTCTCTCTTCTTCTAACATTTCATGTGACCAAACTTATAACATTAACATATTAGAACATAAATATACATTTGTTTTTTGACAAAAAAAAAAGAAATTAAAATAAAACTTTGTTGCAAATCTATTACCATTGTGTTGTTGTTGCGTTGAAGAATTTTCTATGATTTAAATCACAATGCAATTGCAAATCCTTACAAATGCAATTGTAGAGATTATTACAAACAATATTATGATTGTAATAAGTATTGTTAACTAGAACTTAGAATCCTTTTAAGATGAGATATCGAAAATAAAAGAAAATTATGTTTAATTAAACAACTTCTCATAACATCAATGACATTTGGATAACAGTATGGCATACATAGTCAAGTTCACAATAGATAGAGATTTATTGAAATTTTGTTTTGTTTTATTTTATTTTTATCTCCTTGAATGTTTCAAAGGAGTGAATTTGCATCGCTTTTGTAGGGAAGATACTTTTAATTAATTTTTGTTGTTGTTAGCCAATGAAAAATAAAACTATGTATATTTGTCATGCCATTTCTGGGGAATAATCTGATTTGATGTCTCCTTCTGTTTCGGGATATGAAGAAAGGAAATGTAGCAAATCAAAGGGAGCACCTCATATTATTACTTGCCAACATGCATATAAGGAACAGCGCTGAATCAACTAATCAGGTGAACTATTATTTCCTGCAAAAAGCTTTTGTTTTCTAGTTTTTGTTTTTTCATATTTAATGAACAGGGTGATGCTAAATTTCATGGTTGTGATTACTGTTCCTCTTATCATATTAAAAGCTAACAAGAATCTTGTTGCAGCTCCATGCAGAAACTGTGGAAAAGTTGATGGCTACAATTTTCAAAAATTATAAGTCATGGTGTGATTATCTACGTTGTGAATCCAATCTTAGGTAATTGAGTGTTTTATTTCAAGGCAATATGACCAATGGTTTTTATTGCAAGGCAATATGACCAATGGTTTTTATTGCAAGGCAATATGACCAATGGTTTTGAGCTATCAGAGTAAGTTTGGATAGAGGAGAGTTGAGAAAGAGAAGGGAAGATTGAATTTTCAATTTGAATTAAAATTTTATTTTTGAATAATTTTTAAATGGAAGAAACAGTTGAAATATTACCATGCATTTTCCAATCATCCATTATTCTTTTATAGAAATGTTTTGTAACTCTTAATTTAAAACCACAAAATTAATTAACCTCTTCTCTTTTTTTCCGAACCCTTGCATCCGAGTACTCTAAATATAGTGCTTCATATAATGTTTATATACTAAGAAGTGATCTTTAATTAATATAGTGTATGATTTTTTTTTCTTAACACTAGGTTTCTAGAGGATTATGACAAGCAACAGATGGAGCTGATTTATATCGCTCTTTATCTTCTAATATGGGGAGAAGCTTCAAATATTCGCTTTATGCCTGAATGTCTTTGCTATATTTTTCATCATGTAAGTTTCTTATAGCTATCTTGCCAAATATTATTAATAATATACAGCATTCATGTTTGTGTGTTTGTGTTGTGAGTCCATCATCTTAATCTTATGTTTTAATATTTATAATGACAAACTCATTTTTGAGTATGTTTGGATAAATTTTATATAAGATAAGAAATAATTTATAAGTTAAATACAAGTTTTTGAGAAAGCAAAATTATTTTCTTTACTAATTAGTTTTTGAAAAACAATCATTTCATTATTTGTTTTTATTTTTTTAAAATGTTTATTGAAAAGTTTATCAAAACAAACATTTTGTTAAACAAAATATTTTCTGCTATACCTCTTATAAATTATCATTATACCACCATTTTCACCTCTACTAGCCACACTACATTTGTTATAGCTCCATATTTATCTATTTCTCCATTAATATGTTTAATCTCTGGTACCATTCCATTTAATGAAATATTAAACAAATAATATCATTCTAATTATTTTTCAAAAGTCATTTTATTAAGATAAAACTTAAACACCCCACAAGATTCACCTTTAATTTCCTCTTTAATTAGGTATTAATGTTATAGCTTTTAGTTTGGACATAAATTAAGATATAATTATGAATCTTTTTAGATAAATTTTTCTAAAACATTTTTAGTAGAGAAAACTAGGAGGAAAAATTGAAATAAAATTCTCCATAAACTGAAATTAGCTGATGTATAAAGTAATTTGTATTCATACTAGTTCCTCTATAATCTTATTTTTAAATCATGTATAAAATAATTTTAATTTATAGAGAAACTTATTTCAATTATTTTCCTCTTTTTTTTTCTAAATGTAGAAACTTAACAAAACATATATGTATTAAACCAGCTAATAAAAGGCATAAGGAGTGCCGAATATTGACATAAACATAATTTATATAAAGAAACAGAAAATGACTATCTCCAAAGAAAACAAAGGACAACTCCCTCCTAACAAATACTATGTCTTTTGAATATATAAGATTTCCCCGGGGCATCACGTCCCACTCATGAAGTTCCTAAACATATAAATTTCAACAAAATATATACCTTCATGTGAAAGTCACAAATTAATGAAGTGCAACAAGTTTGCATGTTGTTAAAGAAAGTTTTCTTAGTGGAGACATTTTTCCAGTGAATTTTGAGACCACCACATATCATGCAAGAATCAACTCTTTAAACGTAACTAGTATGTTGACCCATGCTATCACACGAGTTGTGCAATGTTTACGCTTTTGTGAAAAATGAAAATGGCCTTCATCAAGTATTTTCTCCATCCCATTTTGTTTAACATTTTATTTATATTTTTTTTAGAGTAACATAGCAAACATGGTCTAGATATATACATATAGTTAGGTACAATGTTAATGACTCTCCATTTTTCTCCCAAAGATGTCCCGTGAAGTCCATAAGATTTTAGACAAGAATATTACCATTCATCTGATGAGAATAGACCCAGTCCAAGAACATGATGATGAATATTTTCTGAGGGAAGTTATAAGTCCAATATATCAAGTTTTGATGAAGGTCAGTACGATGCAGCTATAATCAGATTAGTTTTGCTGCATGTTTTCTAATGTTTTCCTGACACTTTTTTTTTTTTTTTTTTTCTGTATTTGGTGAAAAAGGAAGCAAAGAGAAACAACAAAGGCAAGGCAAGTCATTCCAATTGGAGAAATTATGATGATCTCAACGAATACTTTTGGTCAGTGTTTCATTAAACTTTCAGTAATCAAATAAAGAAAACTCTTGAAACAGTGCAAAAAGTTTTTTTTTTTAAATATTTTTTTATACATTTGGGTAGCAAGAAGCTCAAACATGTGCCTTTTCAGGTCTAACAAATGTTTTCATGATCTAAGCTGGCCATTTAATCACAAAGCAGACTTTTTTAGGCATTCAGATGAGACACAGACAAGACGTCGGGTCTGTATCTATTTTCTCACTTTTCCTTTTCGTTCTGTCTGTATGTGTTATTTTCCATTTGCTGAATTCTCTCAATACATATGAATCACATGTTGTTAGAATAAATGGATATTTGGTTTGTTTTTAATTATGTGAGCATATCATTTACTTTATATTGTTTTTCTTTCAATTATTTTTATCACATGTTAATGCCATTTATTTTATACTCCACCAATGTGCCAAATAATATATATATATTTTTAATTGAATAATGATTTTATTGACTAATACTATTTTGTTCGAAAGATATTTATGATTATCCGTTAATTTAAATTAATGAAATAAAATATCAAATAATTTTTAAATCTTTTTTAAAAAATTAGATTTAATTTATGCATTAAAAACTTTAAATTTAACTGTTAGATCGTTGAGATTTGATATAGAGTATGAGTTATTAAACGGAATAAGTTTAGACAGACTTATTCCTAGAATAAACAAATCTCTCTCTCTCTCTCTTTCTCTCTCTCTCTCTCTCTCTCTCTCTCTCTATATATATATATATATATATATATATATATATATATTATGAATTTAAGCCATCTATTTAATCCTTGAAGTATCATCTTCTCTCCTTAATAATCCTTAAACTAACAAAATTATATAATTAATCTCTAAAGTATTGAATATCGATTAATTTAGTTCCCCACTATTTTAGGGTTATGAAATTCTAAATAAATTTTTGCAAGTTTTAGTTGTTTTATTTAAGTTTCTAGAAATAATAACTTATTATTATTTTAGTCTCTAAATATTAAGAGTATAAGTGAAGAATAATTCACCGTGAACTCGACCTATCCAAACAAATCCAATTATATTTTTGTGAGTTGAGTTAGACCATTTGGTTGAATTGGATAATTTTTATGTTATCTAATTATAATTAGATTGAATAATGAATCAAGAAATTTGTTACCTAATAAATTCGAACTAACTCGACTTATGATAAAATATTAAATCAAATAAAAAAATAATATACACAATGCAATACCTAATTAATATATACACTCCTTTACATATATTTAATTCTATTTTTTTTAACTAAATATTGTTTACTTGTTTACTTGTTTGAGATATTTGCAATTTCCCATATATAATTATTGTAAGATTGTTTATACTTTGAATCATGTATTAAAATTTGAATTGAATATTTTTTTCTCTCTATTTTTTAACATTTTAAAATATAATTGAATTAGATTACTTAAAAAAAATGTTCATAAATCTGACTCAACTTAATTGAGCTGAGTACTAAAATAATTTTAACCGGATCCATTTATACTCCTACTAAAATGTACATATATAATGTTTCTAATTTTGCATTAAAATAAGTAACATTTTACACTTTCCAAAAAAAAAAATTAATTCTTTATATTTCAAGGATAAAAGTACTGGTAGCATACAGTTTTAGAGACCGGGTGATGTTTTACCCTGTATTTTAGTAACATTGAAGGACTATTTGAAATTTTTACAGCTAATCAAACATATAGCATAATTTCTAATATTTTAAATATTATTTATATAATTTAAATAATTATAGAACTACCTAAAAAAATACTTTAGAGACTAAATTTATACTCTGCTAATGTGACAAGTAATATCCTATTTTCCACTTTAATGAAATAAATATTTTATTGGCTAGCTAGTATTATTTTCATCCCTTAGATATAACAATAACAATTATTTATCATAAATATAAAATATAATTTATATTTTTTTTTTGCATTAATATCATTTATATATAAAAAAAATATCTATTTATACAAATTCTATATATAATTCATATATCTAAACATATTGTTTATTTAAATATATAATTTATTATAAATTTTTAATTATAATAAACATGTTTATGTATTACATAAATTAAAATATTAATTTCTATATATTAAATAAAAATATATACAAGCCAAGAGCAAAGGGCAAGCTAGTTAAGAAAGGAAGATATGAAAGAGTACAAAATGTAATAGGGATAGCTTATATGTTCTTATGTTTTGTGTTGCCTTGTTGAAGTTATTTTTTCATGTGTATGCTTTGTGCTAGAGTAAATCTTAATCTCAATTAACTAAGAGTAAGTATGATGATGATTTAAATGACTTGGAAAGTTTTCTTTAAGTGTGAAATTGAGTTTTTGAAAACTTACTCAAAATAATCGATTATCATTATGAATAATCTATTATTCCAGCAAGAGATTCAGGGAACCTTGATGTAATAATTGATTATCTGATAAATAATCGATATTATTCCAGGAAGTACCTTCTGGAATAATCGATTATCTTGCAAAATAATCGATTATTCTGTTCTTGAGTGGTTTCTAGAAATCTTGAAGAACAAAATAATCGATTATCCTAAGAAATAATCGATTATCTGGGTCTGGAAAACTTTATAAATAGTTTTCACACTTTGAAACAAGACAAGTGAGAAGAACTGAAAATAGAAGAGAGAAAAACTGATTTTGTGAAGTCTTTGTGACTTTCTTGAGGTGTTTTCTTTGTGAAACCAAGAAGAGAAATATATTGTGAAATGCTTTGAGAGAAATCATCATTATCACTACATTCTTGGAAGAGAAGGATTAAGATGTGTCAAGAATTCACAATCTGATTTGCTCATCTTCCAAGTGAATTCGTTCCTTTAATTCATTGTGTAAAGTGTAAAGAAATCTTGAATAGGTGTCTCAAGTGGTAAGAAATTCTTGTAATGGGTTTCTACAAGAAGTGCTTTCTTGGGGGCAAGAAAGTGTCTATCTTGAATGTAGGAGTGTATGCATGTGTGGTATGCTTGTAAAACTTCTTCATTGAAATAGTGGAACAAATCTTGATCAGGTTATGATTGAGGATTGAATGTAGGTCACATGTAGAGTGGCTAAACCAGGATAAAACACTTTGCACTCTTCTCTCATCTCCATCTCTTACCTTGAATCATCTTTAATTGAATGCTAAAATGACTGGTCTTGATTAATATGCTTGTATGATTAATAATGGTTTAAAACTGAAATATTACAATTGCATATTAGTTGTTTCTTAAACTAAATTCAATAAAGATTAACCAAGAATTCACATAGGAGTCATTCCCATTTGTTAAAGGTTCAATTAATTACTTCATTGAGAATTAATATTAGAAAAGTTTTGAGTGAAATAAAGATCCTTAGACTCTTAAAATTTTTAAGTGTCATTGAATCCAATTCACCTCCCCCTCTTGGATTGAGTTATTCTTTTCTATCACAAGTATGTTCTATACTCGCCTCTTATGAGAATCTTGTGTAACAAAAAGTTTTTCATCTATGATCAAGTTTAACGATCCTCTTGTTCTATGAGATATAAATATGATAGCTGTAGTGAAACATGATAAAGTCATGAAATGTATTGGATTGAGAGGCTCCGTCAAGGTGGTATCAAACAAAATTGTTAATAGAAAATTATTTGTAATAATTATCGTTGAAAATGATAATAATCGAGAAAAGAGAATATGATGTTTTGTGTTGCCTTGTTGAAGTTATTTTTTCATGTGTATGCTTTGTGCTAGAGTAAATCTTAATCTCAATTAACTAAGAGTAAGTATGATGATGATTTAAATGACTTGGAAAGTTTTCTTTAAGTGTGAAATTGTAAAATTAATTATCAATAAATAAAAATAATATAGTGTTACAATATAAATTATTATTGTAAATCTAAGATAAAATTTACATGTTGAGAAATATTTATTTATACAAATCATAAATATAATTTATATATTTTAACATAATATATATTGAGAGTTTATTATAAGTGTTGAACCCAAAGTCGAATTGTTTGGATAGTATCCAAATTTAATCTTTGACAGAATCATATCAAACTTTACTTAATTTCTTATTAAGTTGAATTAATTTATGACAAAATCTTAGAATATTAGTGTGAAATAAAAAATTATTTTATTTTAAATTTAATTACATATAATTAATATTTAATTTGTGCACATAGTAAATACAATTTGTAAGAGTGTAAAACAGATTATCGATAAATTTATTTAGAACATATTTTTCTATTATTTTAATTTCTTATTTTCTTTTCCATTGTAACATTACTTCACCCGCTCACCACAACCTTCTCCTCAAGGTTTGGACCTATGATCATAGAAAGTGTTGAGCATCTGACTCCAAGTGAGTGAAAATAAATACAAAAAGAATGAATAAAAATTTAAGTGATGTGAATTAGAAGAGTGCAATAGTGATGTAGGAAAGCACGTGGATGAAGGAAAAGATGCCCAATAAATGATATTGAAATTTGAATTAGGATTGAGGCCTGGGTGGATGATTATTGAGAGGGATTGATGTGCATTGTTTTGGTTCGTGTGATTCTGTTTTGGATAAATTCTGAAGGATGGAGCTAAGGTTTCGAAAATCCATAAATCCTAAACTCTAAACTCTAAATATGATTTCATAGGACATTTGTAGAAAAATTAAGAGAGACGAGTAACACTAAAATTGTGGGTGATCGTAGCGTTTTCTTTAAGTGTGAAATTGAGTTTTTGAAAACTTACTCAAAATAATCGATTATCATTATGAATAATCTATTATTCCAGCAAGAGATTCAGGGAACCTTGATGTAATAATTGATTATCTGATAAATAATCGATATTATTCCAGGAAGTACCTTCTGGAATAATCGATTATCTTGCAAAATAATCGATTATTCTGTTCTTGAGTGGTTTCTAGAAATCTTGAAGAACAAAATAATCGATTATCCTAAGAAATAATCGATTATCTGGGTCTGGAAAACTTTATAAATAGTTTTCACACTTTGAAACAAGACAAGTGAGAAGAACTGAAAATAGAAGAGAGAAAAACTGATTTTGTGAAGTCTTTGTGACTTTCTTGAGGTGTTTTCTTTGTGAAACCAAGAAGAGAAATATATTGTGAAATGCTTTGAGAGAAATCATCATTATCACTACATTCTTGGAAGAGAAGGATTAAGATGTGTCAAGAATTCACAATCTGATTTGCTCATCTTCCAAGTGAATTCGTTCCTTTAATTCATTGTGTAAAGTGTAAAGAAATCTTGAATAGGTGTCTCAAGTGGTAAGAAATTCTTGTAATGGGTTTCTACAAGAAGTGCTTTCTTGGGGGCAAGAAAGTGTCTATCTTGAATGTAGGAGTGTATGCATGTGTGGTATGCTTGTAAAACTTCTTCATTGAAATAGTGGAACAAATCTTGATCAGGTTATGATTGAGGATTGAATGTAGGTCACATGTAGAGTGGCTAAACCAGGATAAAACACTTTGCACTCTTCTCTCATCTCCATCTCTTACCTTGAATCATCTTTAATTGAATGCTAAAATGACTGGTCTTGATTAATATGCTTGTATGATTAATAATGGTTTAAAACTGAAATATTACAATTGCATATTAGTTGTTTCTTAAACTAAATTCAATAAAGATTAACCAAGAATTCACATAGGAGTCATTCCCATTTGTTAAAGGTTCAATTAATTACTTCATTGAGAATTAATATTAGAAAAGTTTTGAGTGAAATAAAGATCCTTAGACTCTTAAAATTTTTAAGTGTCATTGAATCCAATTCACCTCCCCCTCTTGGATTGAGTTATTCTTTTCTATCACAAGTATGTTCTATACTCGCCTCTTATGAGAATCTTGTGTAACAAAAAGTTTTTCATCTATGATCAAGTTTAACGATCCTCTTGTTCTATGAGATATAAATATGATAGCTGTAGTGAAACATGATAAAGTCATGAAATGTATTGGATTGAGAGGCTCCGTCAAGGTGGTATCAAACAAAATTGTTAATAGAAAATTATTTGTAATAATTATCGTTGAAAATGATAATAATCGAGAAAAGAGAATATGAAAAGGTTGTTATTTTATTCAAAATAGGAGGATCCCTTTTAAGGGTAACAATTACGTAATTCATCATAAAGAGAAATAATTCAAAAATTGTAACAGTCATTGCACTAAAGCAATACTTATTAGCCAATTAAAACAAAGTTACAAAACATAAAAATATCAACAGACCCTCCCTTAAACTAATGTTTGCTAACATTCAGTTTAAAGGCTTCACAGAATTTAGCGTGCAGACCTCAAGAAACCTTCTGTGCTTCATGAATGACTCTCTCTTGAGTGGCTTGGTGAAAATATCAGCAACTTGATCTTCACTCTGACAATAAATCAATTTAATGGCCCCATCATTGCTTCTTCCATATAGTACTGGATGCTTTGAAAGTTTGATTGCTGAATTATTGTCACAAAATATCTTAGTAGCCCCATGTTGCTGGAATTTCAACTCTTCAAGGATTCTCCTTAACCATATGGCTTGACAAGCACAAGCAGTTGCTGCAAAAAATTCTGCTTCTGTGCTTGATAAAGTAACAATAGGTTGTTTTTTAGAGAACCAAGAGATAGCGCCTGTGCCAAGCATGAAAACACACCCCGAAGTACTCTTTCTATCATCTTGATCTCCTGCACAATCACTATCAGTGAACCCCAATAGATTAGACTTTTCACCTTTCTTGTAAAATAGTCCAAACTCTCTTGTTTCTTGCAAGTAACGAAGGATTCTTTCAGCAGCAAGTAAATGCATTTATGGAGGATTCTCCATGTACCTGCTAATCAAACTTACAGAATACATTATATCTGGTCTAGTTGCAGTTAGATACATTAAGCTTCCCACAATCTGTTTGTAAAGTGTACTGTTTATTTTTTTTCCTTCATGATCTTTGCATAACTTAAAACCACACTCAACTGGAGTGTTTGCAGAATTACAATCATGCATATGAAATCTTTTTAGAATTTCTCCCACATATTTCTTTTGAGAAAGAAAAATTCCACTTTCTAATTGCACTATTTCTATGCCAAGAAAGTAGTGCATCATGCCAAGATCAGTAATTTCAAATTCATTCATCATAGACTTCTTGAATTCATCAAACATGACAGTACAATTTCCAGTAAACATAAGATCATCAACGTACAAGCATGCTATAAGCAATTTTCCTTTTTCTCCAGATTTAACAAACAATGAATGCTCATAAGGACACTTTGTAAAACCAGCTTTTATGAAATAAGACTCAATGCGACTATACCAAGCTTGAGGGGCTTGTTTTAGCCCATAAAGAGCCTTTTTTAATGCAAGCCAAATGCATTTCAAATGAAACCTAAATTAACTCTAAATGCTACTTGGTGGCTAAGAATAGAATCTTTGGGTTTGGTTAACATCTAGGTACTTGATAAGACCATGTAACCTAGGTGCCCTTCACTTAGGCCTAAGTCTTGCCAAGTCCAAAAAAAATCCAATGCCACCAAAAAACACGTCTAGGCCTAGTTTCCAACCTTAATAAAATACCCTAATTATAAAATGAAATCCTATAATCTAAGACACTCTATAACATAAGGGTAAAATAGGAAATACAAGTAAAAATAAATTCTATGACTAAAACACCCCAAAATACAAGAGTAAAATAGGAAATACAAGAAAAATAATTCTTATGTCTAAGGTACCCAAAATATAAGGGTAAAATAGGAAATTAAGAAATTTAAGATTATCCAACAACATTGACTATGTCTGTCACACTGTACATATTCACATGGTCATATAAACTCACATTACTTTGGTAGATATCTTTATGGAATTACAAATGATAATGACAGGCAAGCACCGGAGTTGGTAAGAGGAAGCCAAAACCAAATTTTGTTGAAGTTCGAACGTTTTTGCATCTGTATAGGAGTTTTGATCGAATGTGGATATTCTTTATATTGGCTTTACAGGTAATGTTATGATATTAGTTGGACTATGTAATGTTCTTTATGTTGACTATAACTGAATGTCTAGAACAATGGTCAAGACTTGAAATTTCACCATGCAAATATTATTTCAAATATCATAGAATTTGTTTCAGGCAATGATTATCATAGCTTGGAGTTCCTTGGGACCTATTGGAGTGCTTTTTGATGCAGATGTCCTCCGAAATGTTATGACTATATTCATTACATATGCTTTTCTCAGCTTTTTTCAAGGTACTTAATTCCTATATGTCTGACATTTATGTTGTACCTACTTTTATCCAATCATTTATTTATAGGATTTAAAAGAAGGTGGGAGGATAAAATTTCACCATTTCACGACCAAAACAATTTGACTGATACTTGGCTCTCTGGAGGAGCAGCACATAAGTCGGTGTCAATATATATCACTAAAGTCAGGCTATGCACTAACAGATTATTCTGTATCCCATCCAAAAGGAGTCTGTTGAAATCATGTCTGGACTAAGAGGAGTTGTGGATCAAATACCAAAAGAAGTGTAATGTTAGAGCAATTTTAAAATGTTAGACAAAATACCCAGTTTGGCATGTATTGAGAATGTTGATAAGAAAAGAAAATGAGATAAAATGACAGAGAAAATGGGAAACTAGAAAGATATTCTGAATTGTGAATTTGGTCGATTAAATCTCTTTTTACAAGCCAATCCCTATAGATGATTTGGGCCAGGTGACACCAAATATATGTAGTTAATTATATAAGGAATAAGGAAGAGTGAATGGGGCATGATGAATTCTGTTTGAAGAAAGAGGATCATCGAAAACATTTCTCTGGTGAGGGAAACATATGGCTAGGGGCTGATAGACTCACTGCTACCAAATTTTCTTTTTTCTAGTGACCATTTTCTTCAATACATATTACAGTATATTTAAGCATTTTCTTTTTTCCCTAATCTATCACACTCATATAGATGCTGTTATTCAATCATTAATACTGATAGTTGTTGACTATCAGTTACAAAAATCTCTATCAGCTAAGTGAGAAAGTATCTATATACAACTTGGATTGGTTATGTGGTTTGGAAAGCACAGAGACACCCTTGGGGGCCTATTATGGTTTATTTTTGTTTACATGCAAATTTAAATTCGAAATTGGAAAGATTTGCCAAAAGAACCACTCCTTTCTGTTGGAAGCTTCATTTCTTTGGTAAACAAAATAGAGAATAGTTTTTAGAAAAGAAATGAAGGTAGTGTTTTTCTTATGTAGTTCAACAACAATTACTATTGTCGTGTTATTTACTTTTTTCCCATATTTTGCAGCAACTCTTGATATTTTTCTCGCATGGTATGCATTGAGGACAATGAAATTCACTCAGTTGCTTCGATATTTTCTGAAATTAGTTGCAGCAGCTGTTTGGGTTGTTGTTTTGCCTGTCTGTTACTACATAAATCTACAATTTGTCACTAGTTGGGGTGGAGTTTGGGGGAAAGTGTCACTTTACACCTATGCTGTTGTATTATATATGCTACCAAACATAGTGGCTGCAATACTATTTTCCCTTCCTCCCTTGCGGAGAACATTGGAGCAGTCAAATATGCGGATCATTACCTTTTTCATGTGGTGGGCTCAGGTCAGCAACACATGCATTTATTTGTTTATTTTTCTGAAAATACATAACAAATGCTTCCTTTATTAGTCTTTGCATCTCTTTCTAGTTGAAATATGTTTTCCTCGTACTCTGTCTAACATTGACTATACTGCAGCCAAAATTGTACGTAGGCAGAGGCATGCATGAAAGCATGTTTTCACTGTTGAAGTAAGTGAGAAATTCTTATAAATTTCCATTTTACATCCGGTTCTTTCTTTTGTCCAATATTGGGAGGAGGGGACTTTGGCATGGAATTTCAGGGTGAAAACCTTCATTTCCCTTCAACACGTTTGTTTTTTCTTACACCTATATGTCAGTTGCTTTCATTTATAATTTTTGGCTTTAAAATATTCTGTTATGGCAGTTATACCCTTTTTTGGATCATGATACTAAGTATCAAGCTAGCATTCAGCTACTACGTTGAGGTATTATTTATGTAATTAGCTGACTTTATTTCATTCAGAGTTTAGTAGTTAGTGGACACTAAAACACATGATTGATAATGTAACTAAGTATATATATATATATATATATATATATGCAGTCAGTGATTGAGTTCAATATAAAAATCTCCACTTTCTCCTGGTAGAATGATATTCTTTAGTGTGTAGCATGAAGTTCTCTTACCATTTAGTTGTTTCTAGAAAAATTGGGAAGAAGGACATGGAAAGAAGGGAGATAAGATAAAAATAACATTTTCCTCTTTATTTGAGAGGAGAAATGAGGAGGGATATGTTTCTATGGGATCCACGGTAAGAAACTTCACACCCAAATTGACATGAAATTGAGGAGGGGGACATGAAGACCTCTCTCTTCTTTTTTTTTTTTTCCCTATTTTTGAAGATTAAACATTTATAACATAAAAATCTGTAAAAATAATGAATATTTTTAAAAAAAAATGAATGGCATAAAAAGTTTATTCTTTTATAAATTTATTAATATGAGAATATTTTTTTATACAATTTATTTATTTCTTTGTTTTCCACTAATCCAAATAAGCAATTTTTTTTTTTACTTCTTTTGTTCATATTTCTATTTATTGAGACAACATATCTTTTCTACTTTATTTATCTATTTTTGCTATCCTTTTTATTTATTTTTCTTAATCATAAAAAAAAGCAGGAAAATGCTCGTGAATATGGACTAATATGTGATAAATTATAGTAAGAATTTAATACATATCCTTCTGGTTAAGGTAACTCGTGCATATCCTCGTAAGGGGCATATCCTTACTTTCAACAATGGATGTCAGTGCTAACAAACTTGAGTATGTTAGTCAAGTAAAAACATGTGTTGAATTCCAAAAGAGAGATTAGAAACTTGAATGACAAACTCCTTTTCTGTAGTAGGTAAGAGGGGAGAGTTTTAGAGGTGTAGAATGAGAAGACACCTCTAATTCTCTAAAACTCTCCATAGTGTCATTGAATCACATGGTTTCGGCATCTCATATGCCTATCCCTTTTTTTTTTCTTTGACAATTTTAAGTCTGTTTCAAAATATAAAAAATATCATGAACCAATGTCTGATAAATGAATAAATGAATGATTGAATTCTGTAGTAATCATGTTATATCTATTTTCTTTTCTCTTTCATGTTATGATTGTATGAAACACACCTAATATTGTTTAGATTGTACTTCATTAAATTTGTTTCTCTTTTCACTAAATTAATTTAGTCTTTCAACAGATATTGCCTCTTGTTGGACTGACAAAATTAATCATGGGGATGTCTATAGATAACCACGAGTGGCATGTGTTATTTCACGAAAATGGTAACATTTTATGTCCTTTTCACTATCTTTACAACGTGTTCTCTGTCATACGTTGCTTTAACTCACATTATGTAAGTGTTGCAGAGTCACACAATATATATGTTGTCATTGCGATATGGACTCCAATTATCCTGGTAAGCTCACTAGGAAAGGAATTTTATAGTGATAAACGTTATCCATTACTTTGTATTTAATTCAAATTTTGTCGATATTAATTTATTCCATTCTTATACGTTTTTATTAATATATAGGTTTATTTTATGGATACTCAAATATGGTATGCTATTTATGCCACAATAGTTGGTGTCATTGTTGGTGCGTTCGGCCATCGGGGAAAGGTTTGCAATGTTTTATATTTGTTAAAATATGATACAAACTTCTAAAATAAGCTAAATTATTATAAAAAAAATAAATAGGTGTATGCTAGTAACTACTAGATGATACAAATTCTAAAATTATGTAGACAATTACATATAGATATAAAACTCTAGAATAGTTATCCATAGAATTCTCTATATAAAACATGAATGGTGATGTTGAGGCCTATAAATAAACCATGTATCCAACATTTAAAACCAAGCAATTAGTAAATCATTCCCACTCAAATCTATTACAATTACTATTCCTCTAAGTTAGTTTTCCTTTCAACTAAGTATATCAATATAAATTTGTCTCCCCATTCTTTCTACTAATCAAAGAAGTTTTTACTATTTGATAATTCATAAACTAACAGTGGTATCAGAGCTACGTTCAGTCATCTATTGAACGTAGAAATATTATCCCATTACTTCCAAATTAAAAAACTTTTTTCTCAATATTCTACCCACTTTCAAAAAAAATTCTAATCCATGGCTAACACCATTCAACCATCATCTATCCCTATTCCTATTTTTAATGGTGAAAATTATGATTTTTGGCTGCAACAATCATATGGCCAAAGATGAAAGCATCTTCAAGGATATTGATGAATCCGTCAAAGTGAAAGTCCAAATGGGGAACGACACTTTTGTTGAATCAAAAGGCAAAGGCACAATTATGGTGGAGACAAAGAAAGGTGCGAGACTTATTATTGATGTTCTACTAGTTCTCAATCTCAAAGAAAACCTCTTGAGCATAGGCCAAATGATGGAGAAAGGTTATACTCTCCACTTCGAAGGAAACACATGTAAAATATATGACAATAAAAAGCTAGAGATTGGTCGAGTAAAAATGAAGGAGAGGAATTTCCTATAAGCCTGAGACAAGGCTCTAACATTGCCATGAAAGCAGAAGTACAAGACTCATGGCTTTGGCATCGAAGATTTGGCCACTTTAATATGCATTCCTTAAAGTTATTATATATATAAAAAATATGATGAGAGATCTCGCATGCCGAAAGGAGAATAGTGAAGCTTGTGAAGGATGTCTCCTTGGCAAGCAACATCGATTGTCGTTTTCAATAGGCAAAGCATGGAGAGCAAAGGACTTGTTAGAGCTGATCCATACAAATATATGTGGACCAATACAAAAGTCATCACTCCATAACAATAGGTATTTCATTCTCTTCATATATAGATGATTTTTCTAAAATGACGGGTCTATTTCATAAAAGCAAAATCAGAAGTCTTTGGTAATTTCAAGAAGTTTAAGACCCTTGTCGAAAAGCAAAGTGGCAAACAAATAAAAGCACTTAGAAGTGATTGTGGCAAAGAATACACTTCCCATGAGTTTGATAAATTCTGTGAAGATGAAGGTATTGAGCGACAACTTACAGTTGCATATTCTCCACAACAAAATGAAGTATCTGAAAGGAAAAATCGCACAGTAGTGGAGATGGCTAGATTGATGCTCAAGGAGAAAGGATTACCAAACACTTTTTGGGCTAAAGCAGTTTATACTACTATCTACATACTTAATAGATGCCCAACTAGGGTAGTCCAAGATAAAACTTCGATTGAAGCCTGGAGCGAGAAAAAACCATCAACAAAGCACCTAAGGGTATTTGGATCTATTTTCTACATACACGTTCCAAAAGAGAAAAGGCACAAGCTAGAAGACAAGACAGTATGAGGTATCTTTCTTAGGTATATCACACAGTCAAAAGGCTACCGAGTCTACAACTTGCAAAACAAGAAGTTGACTATTAGTTGAGACGTTGAAGTTGATGAAATACGTATTGGAATTGGAATGACGAGAAAGTAGAGAAAAACATATTTATCTCAATACAACAACTAGAAGAAGAAACTATAGAAGTCCCAGGTGAGCCTCATTCTCCTCCACAACAACAGACTCCATCACTAGAGTCTACTCCAAGATGAGTTAGATCCTTAGTGGATATATATGAAACCTGCAACTTGGCCATACCTGAAAGCTTTGAAGTAGCATCAAAGCAACAAGTATAGGTCAAGGCTATGGAAGAAGAGATAAAATGATTGAGAAAAATAACTCATGGGATCTAGTAGACTATCCAAAAGATAAAGATATCATCGAGGTAAAATGGGTTTATATAAGACAAAGCTCAATCTGGACGACACCATACAAAAGCACAAGGCAAGTTTGGTAGCTAAGGGCTATTCACAACAACCTAGAGTCGACTACAACGAGACATTTGTCCCAATAGCACGCCTAGATACAATTAGATCTCTAATAGCTCTTGTGGCACAAAAAGGTTGGAATATCTACCAACTAGATGTCAAGTATGCTTTTCTCAATGGTGTACTACAAAAAGTGATTTGTGTAGAGCAACCATAAGGTTTCATAAGCAAGGGCAATGAAGATAAAGTACTAAGGCTTAGAAAAGCTTTATATGGTTTGAAGCAAGCTCCTCGGGCATGGTACAATAGAATAGATCAATACTTCACCGATCATGCATTCAAGAGGAGTAAGAGTGAGCTAACACTCACTACAAGAAAAATCAGTATTATCTACGGAAGAAATCCGTAGGTAAGTGTTAATTATCTACGGAAAAAAATTCGCAGGTAATAAGGTCGTAAATAACGTTACCTACCTACAGAAAATTTTTCGTAGATAACCCACGAAAGTTGTTATCTACGTATTTTTTCCGTAGATAATGTTATTTACGAAAATTTTTCCGTAGATAACCCACGATAGTTGTTATCTACGGATTTTATCTGTAGATAACCTTCAGAAAATTTTTGTTTAATTTTAATAAATTTATTAATGTAACAACCCTCATATTTGACTTCTCAAGGATGTTATTTCAGGACACTTCACTTTTCAAAGTGTTTTTTCCTTACTGCACATTTTTTGGGAAACTTCCTAGAAGGTCACCCATCCCTATATTACTGCAAGTCAAGTACACTTAACTGTGGAGTTTTGATGGATAAGCTATTGTAAAGCTAGAAGATGCATGTTGTCAGTATAAGTAGTACAAATTAATTCATTTAAGTCATCCTCAAGTATACAATCTCATACTTATACTATTTTTGGATCCCTCTTATTTTGGTGTGTCTAGACTGCTATAAAAATATAAATATAAATATATAATAATTATATTACCAATAATAATAATTATATTATATTTAATTAATCTTTATTTATATATATATATATATATACTTACTTGTTGTTGGGATACAAACTTTCACAAATTTCCCCACCTATTTTTGATGGAGAAAGTTATGATCTTTGGGCGGTGAGAATGGAGGCATACCTAGAAGGTTTAGATCTCTGGGAAGCCGTAGAAGAAGATTATGATGTTTCCGCATTGCCAGACAAATACCATAAAATAACTCCATCAATGGGAGGGGGGTTATTTTTATGAGTTATTTTTATAAGGTTATAACACAAACTGATGGGGTTATTTTATGATATTTGTCTGAGGGGATATTTTATGAGGGTTATTTTATAATGTTATTACACAAACATGCTCCATAATGATGAGATATTGTCTGTTATGGGCCTTAGCCCTCACGGTTTTGCTTTTGGTCATTACCCAAAAGGTCTCTCGATCATTGAAGTATGTTTGTATTATATAAGTTGTTATTTTTTATCTTATTTTATCGATGTGGGACTTGTTTGTATCCCAACACTTGTGTATAATTAACAATCTACTTATTTATATTTAAAATTAATATTATGCTACAATTTAAATTATTTATTATAAATTTAAAAGTTTAAATAATAATTATGTATTTTAAAATGATAAGGGTTATAATAACACCGGTGTAACTTATACTAAGTATTACACCGCTCAATAACTTTATATTAAATGTGAATTTTGTAAATCCAACTATTAGATTGAAAGTTTATATCACTTTATATGTTTATATCAATTTTTGTTAAAATTGAACAACAACTTGAAGGTAATCAAAGTGTTCATATTTTAGTATATTTTGAAATGTATATATTATGTCAATTTTGTTTTACTAGAATGAAGTATCAAATCATCTTGAATTAATATAAAATTTTGTATATATGAGCTAAGAGTAAAAAGATTTCAATCTAACGGTTGAATTTATAAAATTCACATTTAATATAAAGTTATTTAGAAGTGTAATACTTAGTAAAAGTTACACCGGTGTTATTATAACCATTCTCTTTTAAAATATTATTTTTATCAATTAAATTTTAACATTTTAAATAAATTATATTAATTAACTTAATATATTTATTCATCTTAAATCTATGATAGAAAATTCAAAAATGTATTTATTATTGTTTTATTTTTTAATTATCAACCATATTAATAAAATACTAATTTAAAATCTTATCTAATTATATCATAATATTTTCATATCAAATTTAAAACCAAATATAAGTATGTTACTTTTTATCATCATTAATTTATAACAATAAAAAATTTAAAATGAAAATTTTTAATAATATTTATTTTTTACCAAATATTCTTTACATCACTTACGTAACTAAAAAATTATCTACAAAAAAAAATTATGTAGATAATATTCCGTAGATAACTAATTCCGTAGGTAATATTTCGTAGATAACTAATTTTGTAGGTAATATTCTGTAGATATCTAAACATTATCTACCAAAAAAATTTCATAGGAAATATTCTATAAATAACTAATTCCGTAGGTAATATTCTGTATATAACTAATTTCGTAGGTAATATTCGGTAGATAACTAAACATTATCTATGGAAAAAATTTCGTAGGTAATATTCCGTAGGTAAATATTCCGTAGATAACTAAACATTATCTACGAAAAAAATTTCGTAGGTAATATTCCGTAGATAATAATAGTTTTCTTGTAGTGACTATATACATCAAGACCCAAGGTCAGTATGACATTCTCATCGTCTCCTTGTATGTAGATGATCTTATCTACACATGGAACAATATGAAGATGATGATAGAATTCAAAGAAGGCATGATGAAGACATTTGAAATGACGAATCTTGCCTTGATGAACTACTTCCTTGGTATTAAGGTAAGTCAAAAGAAGAAAGGGATATTCATTTGTCAAAAGAAATATTCTGAAGCTCTCTTGAAGAAGTTCAAGATGAGTGGTTGCAAGACTGTCAGTACTCCACTTGTGACAAAGTAGAAACTACAAAAAGATTATGGAGAACCAGATGTTGATGCATCTCGCTACAAAAGTATGATTGGAAGCTTACTATATTTAACAGCCACACAACCAGACATAATTTATGCTGTAAGTCTTTTATCAAGGTTTATGCAAAGCCCAAGTCAAGTTCACTTTGGAGTAGCTAAAAGAATTCTAAGATATCTACAAGACACAAAGGAGTTTGGTATATGGTACAAAACCATGAACAACTCAAGTTTGCTTGGATACACCGACAGTGATTGGGTAGGATCGGTAGATGACACGAAGAGCACCTCTGGTTATGCCTTCTCACTCGGATCAGGAATATTTTCTTGGGCATAAAAAAATCAAGCAATAGTTGCACAATCAACTGTAAAGGCAGAATACGTTGCAGCAGCTGAAGCTACATGTAAAGTAATTTGGCTACAAAGAATACTTGCAGAAATGAGAAAACAGCAAGATGGGCCTACTACAATCTACTGCGACAATAAATTAGTAATAACAATGACAAAAAAATCTAGCACATCACAACAAGACAAAACACATTGCAATTAAATATCACTTCATTAGAGAAGCAGAAGCAACTAAATAAATCAAGATGGAGTATTGCAAGACCGAAAAGCAAGTTGCTGACATATTCACAAAGGCATTATCGAGAGCAAGATTCGAACAGTTTCGCACTATGATAGGAGTTATAGAAATTTGTATCAAGGATGAGTGTTAAAATGTGATACAAACTTCTAGAATAAGCTAGATTATTATAGAAAAATACATAGGTGTGTGCTAGTAACTACCAGATGATACAAATTCTAGAATTATGTAGCCAATTACGTATAGATAGAAAACTCTAGAATAGTTATATCTAGAATCCTCTATATAAAACATGAATGGTGATGTTGAGGCCTATAAATAAGCCATGTACCCAACATTTACCAAGCAACTAGTAAATCATTCTCACTCAAATTTATTCCAACTATTCCTCTAAGTTAACTTTCCTTTCAACTACATCTATCAATATAAATTTGCGTCCCCATTCTTTATACCAATTAAAGAAGTTTTTACTATTCGATAATTCATAAACTAACAACATTGAACCTTTTATAATTGCGTCTTTCGTTATGTGATTTCTTCTTTGACCCCACAAGAAAAATGCATTATTATTTGATAGTAAGTTATCTCATAAAACCCTTCTTTAAATGATTTCCATCGAAAGATTTCAATTTTTTCTTGGGATAACGATAGTACAAAATTCATATTGGAGATAAAATACCCTTTTAGATATGGTGCACAAGTGGATAGATTAAATATAAGTTAAGCAGTTGCTTCCTTATTAAAGCATGATTCCTCGTCTTTAAACAATGTAGACTTTTTTTCTTTGGATAATGAAAGGATAATATTCAATCCAATCCAAATAAATTACATCACAGCCAACCTTGGCACAATCCAATCGACCTTGTCACTTTATGGCTGACCTGGTCATGTCGTAGCCAACCTTGTTACGTTATAGCCAAACTCGTTACGTATGACATAATGGACATTAAAACAAGGTAAGACCCACTCTATGATTTTGTATTATTACTCTGCCTGTGCTCATATATTGACTTCAGCATTGAAGTATTTGCAAGTGGCCACCATTCTTTCTCTCTTAAAATCGTGTCGTGGCTGCACCAGAGCTAACCTTTGTGGAGCACTTCATGATCAATATACGAACATTGGCATTGTCTATGGAAAATCTCTTTCCTTATTTAAACGAATGGTGACCACATGTAAAATTTCAAGATCTTGATACAAGCCCCCATGTCCTTGCCTACTTTGCCCTAGGAGGACAATGGTTATACCTTTCATGACATAGGTTGATGAGGAAGTAATTTCGTTCACTTTCCCTTTTTCTATGATGAGGTGATGAGCTTCTAAGTACTAAAGTATCTCTAACAGCTTCTTGTGGTGGAGTTTTATGATGGATTTGCTGACCTTGATGCATTTGGTGGTGTTTGTGTCATTCTTATCTTATAAAGGCACGATTGGCCCTTTGATATGTGTCATGTTTTTCCTCCCTCCTTGATGGATAATGATGTGAATTGATTCCAATCTTAGGAATCAAAGTCGATTAAATCTTAGACCAACCTACTCAAGAAGTTTTGTGTTGCCTTTGTCACGAGTAAGGTGAGGCCAAAAACCAAGGTTGACCTCAAAAGAACTTTTTAAGGAGAAAATCAGCCAAATATGTTACATGTTTTAAGAAAAGAGCAAGGAATGTTGGTAATTTTTGCCCAACATATTATGTTGATGTTGAAAAATGAAGGATTATAATAAGAAACCCTTTTTCATATTCCTATCTTGAAGATGTCACTTGTAAGATCCAACACACACTAAAATGAGTAGAATCTAGAGGTTGTACAAGTATGAGATTGTACAATTAAAGATGATTTAATGGAATTAATTAGTACTATCTATACTAACAAAATACATATACTTTTTGGTAGTTCATTATTTAAAAACTCCTTAATTAAGTATATTTGACTTGGTGCAATTCAGGAATGGGTGAGCTTATGAGAAATTTTCCATAAAGTGTGTGTAAGGACAAAACACACAAAAAATGTCTTGTTTTGGATTGTGAGGAAAATTGTTCATTCTCAAAGTAGTCAAACATCTTATCTTAGAAACAACTACTTATAAGGAATTCTAACTAATTAAGGGTTCTCAAACAAGGAATTGAGTGAATCGTCACCGAGTGAAAGTTATGGAATACAATTGTTGATATGTCAAATTTGAGAGATGTTACAAATGATATTAGAATAGGTTCTCTCTCATAATACGATGTGATTTGAGGATAAATCAAATAGAAGCTGATAGACTTGTAACATCCTAAGCATATTGAACGACAGGTATCTAGAGGTTTTATAGGTGTGGAACTATCATTACAAAAATGTTTCGTTTTAGAGTCGGCCAAAAGCCGACTCTAAATAATAAAAATCGACATAATATTATCAATCATTCGTCGGCTTTTGGCTGATGCTAAATAAGTCGACATAATTTTTTTTTGTGTCGGCTAAGTCGTCGATAATAATTTTATTTATTTTAATTTTTTATTGTCGGTTAAGCCGATACTACGTCGAACACAAAATTTATTTTATTTTTTTCTTCATCTTCTTTTTCCAATTTATCATTTTATTCGTTCGTAATTTTAGCATTACCGAGACTCTATCTTGGAACCTTAACGTGTTAAGGGAACTTGATAATCAACTGTACCATCATACATTATGCGTATATAAGATTCAAAAAATCATCTTTATCTCTCTCAAAGCACGTATAGTGTCGAAAAAATCAACATTATTCTTTAGAAATAGTGTCAGTTTTTCTAACGCTAAATTTAAATTGAGTTCAGTGCTAGAAAAGCTGACGCTATTCTTTAAATATAGCGTCGACTTTGTCAACACTAACTTAATTTAAGTTTAGTTTCGGCAAATTCGACACTATTCTTTAAATATAGCGTCGGCTTTGTAGACACTAAACTCAATTTAAATTTAGTGTCGAAAAAGCCAACACTACATCTTAAAATAACGTCAGCTTTTCTGACAATATTTGCGTCAGCTATTAATCGATGCTTATTTTCCACAGTTATTTTGTTGTATTCTTGTAGTGTATATAGTCCACGATGGATTAAAGAAATTAATTAGTATTGCTTATACCAATAAACTGCATCCATTTTTCAATAACTCGTCACAAGAGAACTTCATAGTTAAGTGTACTTTTATAAAGTTTCTTATAAAGTATGTAAGTGAAATCAAAACACATTGAAAAATTTTGTTAGTTTTTGGAGACAGTCATTGATATACTAAAAACATCCTAACATCTCGAAAAGACCTACCTACAAAGGGTTCTAATCAATGAAGGATTTCGATCAATAAAAAATTGAGTGAAGTATCATATAAAGTGCATGATGTGCAACTATTAAGATATCAAATTTGAGAGACATTACAAAGCCACTAACTTGCACTTAAAGTTGAAGGGTCACAAGAAAATATGAGTAGAACAAAATAAGCAATAATGCTATAACTATTATTAATATGGTATAATAAGTAGCCATAAAATGATTGTAAAATTCGTTGCACGATGGTTACACAACTAAAAAATAACAATGTTTAGAAAAAATTACAAGACATGTGCCACATGTCCCGCTTTGCAAAAACATACACTCATAACTACTTCGAAAAAGTTGATGCTATGCAAGCATAGCTTTGACTTGAGGGGGAAACTGTTCTATAGAAGCCAATCCCATGGGGTATTCCATAGCTTAAGTGCTTGGTTGCCTGTCTCAACTAAATAACATGATCAAAGCTAATAAAACCAACGAGTTATATCACAACTAGCTGGAAACATTCCAATGACCTCACCATGATATGGTTGCCGAGACAATAAGTTGTAGCCTATCGTGTCACATTTTGGCCGACCTCATGACTCATAAAGTAGTTGGCATTGTATAATAAGCATTGTAATTGTTTCCTTTTTCTTTTGTAAATAGTCCAATTTATGTATTCTATTTCATTTTATCTAGATACAGACACTTGAAATGCTCCATTCCAGATTTCCATCCATACCATTAGCTTTCAGTCAGCGGTTTTGGACTGGAGAAGACAGAAAAACTAAAGAGGTGGAATTGGTATGTGTACAATGAAATTATATATATAACTTCCATGGTCTTGAAAAAGGTCCACCACTGTAATTTTAGCTGCAATGTTAAGGTTTTTCAAGTGTTCGTAACCTATGCAACTGTAATTTCCAACAAAATCAGTTAATTAATAAACGTTAAAAAACCAAAACCTCGACTGTGATTGATATTTAAAACCATTATTTCTTCATAAAAGCTAAATATCTATCTGTAGTCTTACGAATGGAGTTCTGTGGCAGGATGAGACATATGAACGGAATAATATTTCATACTTTTCTCAATTTTGGAACGAGTTTATAAATTCTATGAGAGAGGAAGACCTCATCAGTGACAGGTCCAAACTCCTCCATATGGCTTCATGACAAACCTTGCATTAGATGCCTGATTTTCAAGTTTCTGATTATATTCTTCACTACTAATTTTATAGGGATAGAGATTTGCTTCTAGTTCCATACAATTCAACTGATGTTTCTGTCATTCAGTGGCCTCTATTCTTGCTTGCTAATAAGGTGTGTGTCATATGAGTGGTTCCCTATGGCCAAAAGTTTATCATAATTGAATGGACGTGTCTTTTTATTCGTTGCTAAATCGCTTTAATATGTGATAGATTCCTATAGCTGTTGACATGGCAAACGATCATATGGGGACTGATGATGATTTATGTAGAAAGATTAGGAGCGATGCATATATGTCTTCAGCAGTTGTTGAATGCTATGAGACTCTCAAGGACATCATACTAAAGCTTTTGCTAGATGAAGAAGATAGGAAGTAAGAAACAAATAATCGTAGCCTCTGTTCACCCATTTAATTTTCTTATTGGAATCCTCATGAGTATTGGGTCTCTTCCATGGATATAGTCTTGTAAGAAGTATATGCGCAAAAGTAGAACGGTGCATTCGAGAAGAAACATTTCTCCAGGAATTCAAGATGAGTGCCTTGCCTTCACTTATTGACAAGTTAGAGAAATTCTTAACTCTACTGGTAAGACTTATTCAGATCTTATAAATAGCATTCTTAACTCATTGCCTTCCTTTTTTGCTTCTCAGTATATTTCTGGTCCTTCTTGTAAGACTTATTCAGATCTTATGAATATCATTTTTTTTCCATTGGCAGCAATCACCACATGGAAAACTAAAGTCCCAGATTGTCAATGTCCTACAAGATATTGTAGAAATTATCATACATGACGTTATGGTTGATGGCCATATGTATGCTTGAAATTAACAGCCACTGGAAATTTGGTTTATGATTGTTTATTTTCTAAACCCCTTAATAATTTCGACTTTACAATATTAATTGGCTTGGTTCTTTTTTCTCCAGGTTTCTGCAAGAACCTCAGCAATATCATGTAACGAGAAGGGAGAGATTTGTCAACATTAACGCTACTCTTACACACAAAAGATTAATGAAGGGGAAGGTAGTCATGACAACTATACTCAAGTGAACACGTTACATTATTCTTTTTGAATGTTCTATTGCGAAAAGTTTCTATTTTGTCCATTTAGGTTGTTAGGCTTCATTTGCTTCTAACATTCAAGGAATCAGCCATAAACGTGCCCCAAAATCTAGAAGCTCAGCGCCGTATTAAATTCTTTGCAAATTCCTTATTATTTACGAATATGCCAAAGGCTCCCAAAGTTAAGAACATGATTTCCTTCAGGTTAGTCATTTTAATAGACTAATATATTGATAGAAAAGTAAAAAACTTGAATGAGTATTGAATAATGTGAAGGGCTAACTCATGAATGGTTTTACATGAACCAACACCTCATGTAAAAGTCTTTCGGCTTGAAGCATGCTGAAACACATTGGTCTACCCTATCTTGTGTTGAAATTCAACTTTATATTAGAAGAATGAAAGCAACTAAAATCAAACTCTTGAACCCTTGGTCTTACAGATATAAACTTTTAGGTCAAGACTTGCGAATAATTTTATACCACACAAATGCCAAATTTTAAAATGGATGGATGAAATGTACTCTGTGCATTAGATATACTAAAGCATTTTTTCTGACTAACTCTAAGGAGAAGAATGATTAAGATACCAAGCAGATGTGTTTTTTTCATTACTACTGCTCTTATTGCATGTACGTGTCTTCAAATGATTGACTTTCTCAAATATATTGATGGTTGTTTTACTTTTGTTGAGAGATAATTATTAACAAAAAGTTATTATGAATGTTAAACACATGTACTTTTATTTATTGATTGATGAGTAAATTACTCTTTGGATTTCTTTTTTATTTAATTGATTTAATTTAATTCCTTAATTTTAAAAAATAATACAATATTGTTCTTTCCGTTCAATGTAGACTAATGACATTATTTTCTTAAAAGTGTGATACAATAAAAAAATGTGTTATCACATATATAAGGAAACATAACATTGTTAGTCTAAATTGAACAAAATTGTATCATTTTTAAAAATTAATAGACTAAATTAAATGAATTAAAAATAAAAATTGAAAAAATATTTTAACCTTATTAACTATGAATTAAAGGGTGCTAGGTGACAAAATACCTAATATCTTGACTAACTATTAGTATTTGATCATTCTAATGTAATCAACATATATAAGTGCACTTCACTGGATGTTCTAATAATGCTAATTCAATATAAATGTTAATATTCTAACAATTTTCCCTCATGCTATCATATTGTGAAACTTATTTGAGTTTTGATTCAGTGTTCTAACACCGTATTTCAAAGAAGATATTCTATATTCTCATAAGGAACTCTATAAGGAAAATGAAGATGGAATATCAATTTTATTCTACCTAACCAAGATATATCCTGGTGAGAGTTTTTATATGCTTATTTTTCTTCCGCATTTTAATGCATTTGCACTGTTTGACATTATTGCACTATAGATGAATGGGCCAATTTCAATGAACGACTAAAAAGTGATGATCTTGAAAAAGATATGGAAGAATCAATTCGTCGGTGGGCTTCTTACAGAGGACAGACACTCTATAGAACAGGTCTTGATCGTAATGAACAATATTTCTGTTGCTTGATTTGAATATACTTTCTAATTTAAATGTTATTTATCAACCATTTGCTTTTGCTATAGTGAGAGGAATGATGTACTATTGGCAAGCTTTGATCCTTCAGTGCTTCATAGAATTTGCCGGAGACACTGGTTATTTCTTTTTTTACATACTGACACTGTGTTCAAAGTTCAAATTCTGAGATATGACCAAATTAATCCATTCATATACAAAAATCAACTATTCGTTGTATCTCTTGCAGCTCTTTCTGAAGGCTTTCGGACAGAGGATTTCTACAACAAAAATAAGAAGTTTCTCGAAAATGCACAAGCTATGGCTGATTTAAAGTTCACCTATGTTCTTTCTTGTCCAGTGTATGGTTATCTTAAAAAGTCCAAAAACGAAAGAGACAAAAGTTGCTATATTAGTATTCTCAACCTCATGTTAACGTGAGCCAATACAACCATTTGCACAACTTTATTAGTTCATTGTATATCGTAAAATAATAGAAAGGGGATTGACAGTGGAAAAATTTAACAATCCATGCAGGCATTCACCCCTTCGTGTTGCTTACATAGATGAAGTAGACGAGAACAAGGATGGAAAATCTCAAAATGTTTATTACTCGGTTCTTGTCAAGGGAAGAGAGAAATATGATGAGGTATGGACAAAAGATTCTCGTTCGATATTTATTTTTGTCATATTTATTAAAATGTTATAAATTAAATTTTAGTTTGTACTGCACTTTATTTTGAAGACATACCATTCACTCATTGTTGGGATAGGTATAGGTTGGGTAGGTTCCGGTGGTTCAAAATTAAAGTATATTTACATCCAATCGATCAATGTAAATCGGTTTGGTTTAGTTTAAATTTTTCAAGTTTTCTTTTTTAAATCTGAACTGAATCAACTCAATTACGTTTGGGTTGGTTTATATCACCTGATAAAAAAATAAAAAATAAAAAAAGGGAGGGGGGATAGAAAAACAGGAAATTGTTAAAAAAAGTTGATGAATAATCTAAAAAGTTAAACTTATAAAATTACATAATATAAAAAATTTAGTATTATTGAATTACACAATATAATTATTTCTAAAAATAATATAATTTTTTATTGCTTTGGTTTGTCTTTTTGTCCAACTCTAGAAAAGTAAATCAAAAGTGTGCAAGATAGATGTTTTCTCTACAATTTTCTCTATTTATAAATTCCAGCATGGATCAAATAAGCACTACCATGCATGTTATAAGCACGCTTGTGTTTGTCCTCAAAATGCCTAACTCCAAAATTGTTGCACGATCGTGCATGTGTCAAGCCTGATTGTGCTTCTTTGAGAAACACAAAACGGTCATTTCTCACACAGTTGTGCGCATAGCATGATTGTGTTTCGCTCCTCGGTTCTCTAGTGCCTCAATGTCCTTTGCCTGACCATGCATATGCTAACATGGTCGTGCTTTTCATTATTACTCATATTTCACCCATTTACTAACTTTTCTTGTAAGTTGTAACTTTTTATGGATCTACACTCATATACTATAAACTAGGTCTAAATTGATCATAAGACACAATCTTCTTGAAGTCGTAAAATATATTTGGATTATTGCCGGTAAAAGAAAAAGATCATTCTCATCAACACAAACAAGGAGAATATCACCATTATAAAAAAATTTAAGATAAAGAGCATACTTGAGCTAACAAAGAACAAAGTCATCTTAATTTAGCAAAGCTCAATAGCATAGACACATTTTTCAACTTTGATATCTTCCTAAGATATCTATTTAGAAAAGTTGGTTTGATGTCAAATTTGAAAATTCTCTACCCTATTTGAGTAGCTAAAGAGATAAGAATAAATATTGTTTCCACATAAGCAACTTGCAAACATTTCATCATAACCAACTCCATGTTGTTGCTTGTATCATTTAACAAGTCTTGTGTATCATTTCACTTCTCTTTCGATATATATTTTTTTTTGAAACAGCAAAATAAATTGAGGTGGCACTAGGGGTGCCATAACCCAATATTACAAATTACAGGTTATTTATAATTTAGTTCATTTGAACCAAATTACTGCATAACCAAATATAAAAACCATATAATTACACCCCAAAATAAGTTACTCCCCGATTCTTAACTTTGGCTGCAGACTATTTGACACAAACTACCTAAACTTGTTGCTCGTTACATTACTGTTATTCCCCATTTTTAATTACTATGAGCATAGGTATTATTGACCTTCTTTTACCTTTAAAACCTCCATTCGATCAGACAACCAGAGACAGCAAGCATTGCCCTGGGTTACAGAGCCGCTAAGCAAAAGGAATTGTGAACTGCTTGTTAAGTAACCTCATCCACTACCATGAAGTACACGTGATCTCTCTAATTGTGTTTTCTAAATTAAAAATCTCACCTTCAAATCTATCCATATTCCTATTCATCCACACCGTTCGAGTCGTTGCTAACCATAAAGTTCTCCAAGCTTGTATTTGAAGATTAGATGATAAAGGTGCTGGGATAAAGTTGAAGTGATGTGCCACATCTTGAGGGAGCGGAGATGGACAATTTATCAAATTCAACAAACTTTTCCAAATGTTATCAACTTCTTGGCAAGTGCAAAATAAATGCGAAACAGTTTCCTCTACCTTGTTACATAGCACACAAATGGATTGTTGTTCATCTAGGATTAAATTCCTTCTTTTTAGGATATCTACAGAAGGAATACCTCTATTGACTATCCTCCACAAGAAAATAAGTGCCTTCGGTGGAGCTTTTATGGACCATATTTGTTTGAATAGTGTTCCTTCCTCCTCGGGCCTTGACTCTGATTCAATCACCTTGTATGCCTCTTTCAGCGAAAACACTTCATCTACTTTGGACCTCCAAAACCACCAATCTGTTTGGTTAATTGTAGGTTGCCATCCTCGTAACCCCTGACCAAGTTCCTGTTCCATCTCCATATGACTTACAACTGTTTGATCACTCCACCTGAACCTCCAGTTCCATTCACCCTCCACCCACCCCCCCCCATTTCACTAATCACGTGGTGTTTCTTCTTAGAGCTTGCAAAAAGTGATGGGAATTTTACTGCTAAGGTAACTTGATCAACCCAATTATCCAGCCAGAATCTTACCGCACTACCTCTGTTGACTTTCCACTCCAACTGACTATTGAACCACCCCTCTGATTCCAGCCCACCACATACCTTTATCAAGTCCTTCCACCAAATTTTGTAATGCATTCTGTGCACATAAATTTTGGAATCCCCCATATTTGGAGCAAAGAAATTTCACCCATAGAGATTCTGGATTGTGAAATAAACACCACCTTCATTTGGCAAGGAGTGCCTTGTTAAACAGATTAATGTCTTTTATACCCAACCCCTCTTTTTCTTTAGAAATTGTGACTTTCTCCCACTTGATCCATGCCATCTTTTTAGTCCCCTGATTAGACCCCCATAAGAATTGTCTTTGCAATCTTGAAATCTCGGAACTCACACCTTTTGGTATCTTATAAAAAGATAGATAGTATAAAGGTAGAGAAGTGAGTACTGAATTAATCAATTGCACTCTACCAGCCATGGATAACACTTTCCTTTTCCAATTAGATGGTCTCCTTTTTATTTTTTCCACTACAGGGTTCCAAATTTCCTTTCTTCTTGGGTTTGCACCAATTGTCAGTCCAAGATAAATAAAAGGTAATTTCAATAGTTTTACAATGTAGCAGTTGTGCATATCTTTCCATTACTTGGTCTTCCAACCTAATGGCCCTGAACTTATTTTTTATGAAATTAACCTTTAGACCAGAAATTAGCTCAAAACATCTCATAATTTCCTTAATAACCACCACGTTCTGAATGGAGCCCTCCCCTAAAATCATTGTGTCATCAGCATATTGCACAATACTGATGTTAACTTTATTATTCCCCACCACCATAGGTTTGAAAATATTCTTCTTCTCTACTTCCCTCACCATAGCTGTTAGACCTTCCGTCACCAATAAAAATAAAAATGGTGCTAAGGGATCTCCTTACCGTATACCTCTTTTCAGTAAAAATTCCTTAAACGGACTTCCATTGACAAGTACGGACGTTGTTTTCGTCCTAAGGCATTCACTAATCCACGACACCCATTTACTGTTAAAACCCAACCTTTGCAGAATATATAGTAGATATGACCAGCTCACAAAATCGTACGCCTTCTCGAAATCAACCTTAAAGAAAATCTCATCCTTTTTTTTCACCCTTGCTTCATGAATTGTTTCATTCACTATTAAGACACTTTGCAATATATTTCTTCCTTCAATGAATGCACTTTGTCTCTCATCAATTACGAATGGTAGGACCTTTTTCATCCTATTGGCCAAAATTTTAGAAAGAATTTTATACATACACCCTACTAATGAGATGGGTCTGAAATCGTCCCAACTCTGCGGATCTTCTTTCTTAGGAATAAGAGATATGAATGTTGAGTTAGATCCTTTTGGGAGTCTACCATTCTGATGAAACTTGTTGAGAAATCTGCAAATATCTCCTTTCAGAACCTCCCAAAACACTTTTATAAATTTAAAGTTGAATCCATCCGACCCTGGACATTTGGTACTTCCACAATCTCATACCGCTCCTTTTATCTCCTCCTCCCCAAACACTGTCACTAGCATCTCATTCTGACTCAAAGATATGGATTTGAATTGGGCTCCATCCAATTTTGGTCTGACCATTGACTGTTCCTGGAATCTGTTTTCAAAGTATGACATAGCATTATTCTTCACTACCTCAGGTTCCTCCACCCATTGATCATCTATAAATAGTCCCTTTATCTCATTCTTCCTGCTCCTCCATTTTACCATCAAATGAAAGAATTTGGTGTTCATATCTCCTTCTTTGATCCATTAACTTCTAGATTTTTGACACCAAATAGACTCGTTTCTAATTACTGCAGCCCAGAATAGTTGAAGCAATTCAACCTTTCTACTGATTTCCACCTCAAGTAAGCTTCTTACCTCCTCAATTGTGTCTAGATTATTTATTTCATCCACCACTCTCCTTTCTTCCATTTTTTGGCTTTTGAATTCCCTTGCATTGCATTCCTTCAATCTTATTTTTAATTGTTTTAATTTCTGTTGTAGCACATAAGCTCCCCATCCCTGAATATGCATCCTTCTCCAGGCCTCCTCAACAACCATGTGAAATTGATTGTCTTGAATCCAACAATCCAGTGTACAAAAAGGTTTTGGGCCCCAATCCACCATTTTTTATTGTAATAGTATTGGACAAAGATCAGAAACACTCCTTTTCAGCACCTTTTGAGAAATGCTAGACCATTCCAGCAACCACTCCTTCGTGACAAGAATTATATCCAGCCTGCTTTTCACCCTACCATTTGGTTTGTACCAAGTATACTTCTTGCCGATTATTGGTACTTCCTCCAATTCCATCTAACTAATAAACCTATTGAATTGTGTCATCTCCCACCTTCTATTGTTGCTCGCATCTACATTTACCCTTTCCTCGACCCTCCTTAAGCAGTTAAAATCGCCCAAAATACAACACATTTGAACTTGACTACTATTTTTCATCTCGACCAATTCTTTCCATATCACATCTTTTTCAGCCTGAATACATGGCATATATACATTAACAGTTACCACTCTAGATCCATCATCCTTCCATGTCCCCTCCATACCCAAATATGATGAACTTTCAAAGAATGAGCAACATTGAAATGCTTCCTTCCTCCAGATACATAATAGGCCTCTTGCTGTGTTAACAGTTGGAATCGCTCTCCACTCGCACTCACCTTCACCCCAAAAGCTTTTGCACATAGCATCCGTAATTTCCCGTGTCTTTGTTTCTTGCAAACATAGTAACTGAACCCTCTCTTTTTGAATCATCTCCCTGAGGTTCCTCCTTTTCACCCTACCCCCAAGTCCCCTTATATTGAATGTGATAATCTTCATAAGGCACAGTTATAAACCCCCTCCTCATTCACCCTTTGGAACTTAAGTTTCTCCATCACGTCTCTATTTTCCAAATTAACCATATGTTGGATAATTTGTTCCTTTGACCCATTATGGGAAGTTCCAACTTCTTTTCCAATTTGCCATAACCTCTTTGCTTCCTCCTTAGCATTTTTTAATCAAAAAGCCCTATTGCAGCTTCTAATATCACTGTCAGAAATAGATGGGCTCAAAGATAAGTTGGCTAACCTTACAAATTTTCTTGTTGAACTCTTCTTTGTGTCACCACCAACTCTCATCATTGGCTTTGTCTCTAGCTCGTTGATCTCTTCCACCAAAGTCCCGTTGCCGCCCCCACCATCCTTGTCAAGCGCCAATACCATTTGACACTAATACCATTGAATACCATTTGACTCTAATTGTTTCATTACCTTTAGGAATTTTTGACAACTACTAAGTGACATTCTTCTTTATGGCATTGATTTCTTCCTCCATAACTTGTCTCCTCCTTTTTATCTTTCATTGTTTCATCAAAAGTTAAAGGTTCACTTTGAACAAAAAAAAATAAAATAAAAAATTTATAATTTCAAGTTCAACATATATATA